CTCCCTGGAGCCTTCTCTTCTCCAGGCTGAACAGCCCCAACTCTCTCAGCCTGTCCTCATAGGAGAGGTGCTCCAGCCCTCGCATCATCCTGGTGGCCCTTCTCTGGACTTGTTCCAGCTGCTCCAGGTCTCTCTTGTGTTGGGGGCTCCAGAACTGGACACAGTATTCCAGGTGGGGCTGTACAAGAGTGGAGCAGAGGGGCAGAATCCCCTCCCTCCACCTGCTGCCCACGCTGCTCTTGATGCAGCCCAGGACACGGTTATTGGCCTCTGGGCTGCAAGTGCACATTGTCTGCTCGTGTTCAGCTTCTCACTCACCACCACTCCCAAGTCCTTCTCTTCCCTAGGTCATTTCTGTCATTTTGTTGGTGACACAAAGGTGAGTAATGAGAACAAACCAGGCTTCTCATTCTCCCCCCAAAAAAACTTGTCCTCACTTGCTGTCACCTTTTCCTTTTTCCTGGGACGCGGATGCTGGATATCTCGTGTGGCTGTTAACAAGCATTGTGCCAGTGTGCCTGTTGCTTTTTCAGCAAAGTGAGTGTTTCCTGTGCCAGGAAAATCATTATTGACAAGAGAGATCCCGTTATTGCAGATGAGAGAGATGGAGATCTGTAGAAGCTCTGCTCATACTTCTCCCTCTGCATTGCCATGAAGTGTGTGAGGGGGAATGAAAGCCCTGGAAATGTAAGAGCTTTGTGTGAGGCAGATGCTAGAGAAATATTTTTTCTGATCTCTCTTAGTTTTTAATGTCATTGCAATGTTTATTTTCTAATGTCATTGTCATGTTTGGTTTCTAATGTCATTGCCAGTTTGTCTGTACCGTAGTAACTCAATGTGATTGTAAGCTGATCTTTGCTAGTGAATGTTTTGCATTTTCTTGCTTTAAGTACATTTGAACCTTCAGCAAGTTATGAGCAATCGTTTCCATGCTTATGAGGATGCACAATGATGAAAAACATTTAATTCTGGAATCTGAGATGTGCTGTGTTCTTTTCCTTTTTTAAAACTGCTGGGACTCATACTCAGTGGTTGGAGAAATCCCAAATCTGAGATTTTAAATTCAAATCAGCAACTTTTTCATTCATCTTTTAAATGCTACTCACTTGGAGATTTTCTGTCTACAGAAGACTCTGATCTTAGGAGATTTTCTTCCATTAATTGTTTTAGAGAAGAATTTCTGTCCATCTCTGGGTTCTTCATTCCCTTTCCCAACGTGCAGGCGGTTCCTTATCATTGACTTTATTTGAGGAGACTCTGTTGCTTCCAAAGTATTCACTTTCTAATGATGTTGTCCTAATAACTGCATCGTAGTTCTTCTCTTTCAAAGACAGATAACTATTAAAAATATGTTTTAATTCTATGAGTGAGATCTTAATTTAGTTAAAATGAATGAAACTAGGCTTCAAGTCAGAATCTTCATTAAGTCCCATTAATGATGCAGAATATTTAAAATCTCAGCTAACTGGAGTATTGTGATTGGAGATTCCCCAAGAGCTCAAGAAAATAATAACTTAAAAGACTGCAACATTGTCACAGGTTGTCATGGGAAAAATCCCATTCTCTTGAAATGATGAAGTTACAATGACTGCAGCAGCAATCAGGGATTTGGGATTTTGCTTTGTTTTCATATTTCATGTGGAAAGACAAAGTTAATGCTCCTCAGTTCCTTAAAAGGATAAATCTTAAATAATTTATCTTAGATCTTTTCTTAATAATACAATATTATGGTGGTATCTGTAGGCAGCATCCTTATTTTGGAGGCTATTTTGGTTAATTGCATCATATTTCAGGAATATCAAGTCCCATAAGTTACTTAAAACTAAAAAAGCATAATTGGAACTATAATATGCATGAAGCTTCGAAAATCTCTTTGCTTTGGGTGAATGCAATGAAATAATGTAGATTTTAGTGACTTTGTTAAAAAATAAATCTTTAGTTGCCAGGATTATGAGGCTTTGACTTGACTGTAGAATCTTTCTCAGTTTGATCTAATTCTCAAGCAGAACTGAAGTTGGTATCTAAGTTTCTGATAACATCTGCTTGTGAAGATCAGATTTTGGGGAAGGACCTAGTGGAAATTAATTTCAAAAAGTGAGCAGATCAAGCAGTTAATATTTATTTTTTCATAGTTGTTGGTTTCTTCAAAGATTTGTTAATGATGACGTCCTTTTACTGGAGCCCTCAGACATTTTTCTTCTTTATATATGTGTCCACTAAGTAATTTGAATCTTTTTTTAACCAAATTATCCAATATTTATTGATTTGTAGTTCTGTGGATCACTTCTGTTTACAAATGTTTCAAATTTGTCATTTATTCTTCTGATTTATTCAGCCAATTAATGGTTTACCAGTTTACCCCACCCCCTCCAGCTTTTTGAGTGAATGCTGTCTGTTCTTAATAAATTTTCAGTATTTAAATTGCTTTTAATTATCATAATCAGATGATAATTCCTTATCATCTCTTCTGATACTCAGTTGGAGACAGATCCTTCAACGCATCCCCTGTTAGAAATGGTTCCAGCAGGATGACAACCCCTGTGATTCTTCTGTAATAAAACAGACACAAGGAAAAGTTCATGTGGATTTTCTGCTATAGTTTAAATACAGCTTTTCTAGCTGGATCGTATATTTTCCAAGCAGAGGCTTTGCCTTCCTGCTCTGGATGTGTTTGAAACAGATTTATTACTAGTTTTGATGTGTTTAGGAAGTTGATTATGAGAACATTTCTTCATATTTTTATATTTAACATGCAGAGTGAGGATTTTTTTGCATCCTCCTCATTTTCCCTTTTTTTGCCATAGTTTCAACTTCTTTCACAATCTCAAAAGAAATATCTTTTTATTTCCAAGAACTCTCTCTACTTTTTAAATCTCTCTCAATTTTGAAGGCAGTTTGTTTGTTCCAATGTGTTGATTTCTCAATACTTATTTTAAAACTCTTTTGGATTAATTTATTGCTGGTTTTGGCAAATTATTAGCTATTGTGCTAATATTGCTTCTCACGACAGAGAACCCCCACACATTGATAATTTGCTATTAATTTTTCAACCTGGAGATTTTTTTAAGTAAGGTAAAAGTGTTGCTATATAGTGTGAAGAAATCATAAATCAAATTTATTATTTGTAATTCTGCATATCTGTCTCTAAGTGGAGCTGGCCTTTCAATAACATCTTTTAGGAATGCTAGAGAAATACAATATTAGACATCCATAAACTGATAGATTTGGGGAACAAATAGATAAATAATCATGATGATGATGATGATTAACCAGTGGAGAGTTCTAATTAGTCATATGCAATATCAGTTTCAGTGGTGAAAGTAATTTCTGTTAATTCAGTGTTTAGGAGTAATTTTAATTTAACTTTTTCTAAGAGACCATCATTTTTTTCCAGTTCAAAGTTTTCTATCTGCTCTTGTACACTTCTGGATTTATTTTTATATTTCACTTTTGTGGCTAAACCTGGTTTAAACCAGTAAGCAGATTGTAATGGTTCATTGGATTTTTTTCAATAATGTTTGTGACTACTCTTCTTGTATTTGCTTGACCACTGAAACTGAGCAGTGGATTGGGATTATTTTGGCTCAGATTATGGCTAATCCCATCTACCATAGTTCAAAAGAATGGTAGGCAGTATGGACAAATGGCAGAGAGCTCTAAGTCCCAGTTCAGATTTTCACAAAGCTCCAAATGTCGTAGGAAATGTATAGATGAGTTGTGACCTTTAAAGGATTCTCAGATTATATTCTTTACAGAAATCTTCTCTTCTAGAATCATTGCAGAATTGCTTATAAGTATTTCTTACCAGTTTTTGCCCATCAAAATGAAAAAGGAAAGGTGGTTTCAAGACTTTCAGTATGTTTTGGCCTCCATTTCAACATTTCTAATGGAAATTATTTGCAATTATGTTTATACTGTTGGCTGGAAAGAAGTCACATCTCTCTTTGAGTCACAGTTCTTCCCACCTTTTGCAGAGGCAGCTTGGCCACCTTTGAACTATTGTAGGACAGCCCCAGGTGTGTTTGGTTCCCCAGCATACCCGGTGTTGTCTATTCAGTCTCTGTGCTTCTATTCAGCTTCTATTCAAAGCTTCTATCATCTTGATTTCATTGAAGACTTCAAAAAAAGAAGAAGATAAGCACGGTGTTCCAGTTTGAAACATTCCCATCTGGAAACAGTCTTGGAGGCAGTGTGGGGGCAAAGCAGATCTTCTGATTCACATGGCATATTCCTCCCCATAGCTCTGACCTTGAGCTCTTGTTTTCCCTGGCTGTAACCTTAGTACCTTGCTTATTCTCTCAGGATGTCCCTCTCTCCGATGTCAGTCCTGCTGCAGCTTGTACTTTCTCAAGTTTCCTCAAATTCTTAACATCCTCTGACATCTCTTTAAAAACAGTGTCTGTCTTGTCTCGGCAAAGGAAAGGTTGGTTATTTTAGTTTTGTTTTTTTTTAAGAGGAACAAAAAAGTAGTGTATCAGTCATACCATAGGAAAATGAGCCTTGTTCATTCTTGAGCATAACAAGGACATGGAAAAACTGATTCTGATGACATTTTCAGGATAGAGTAGTTCTCGGTGGTTTTCTAACAAACAACCTCGAGTCCTCTACTTTCTTGATGTCAGAACTTGTTTTTCCAAAAACAAACGAGCACTCTCCCCCCAACAATGTAAAAACTAACCTGGTTTTTACATCATATTTGTTATATCGTTAAAGTTACATCATTACTGACCTCAGCAGAATGATCCTTGATTTAGGTGAAGGGAAATTGCATCCAACGCTTTTCATGCTGTTCAGTGGGGGGAAGTTTACAAATAGGGCATCTATGGAAGCTTGAGGGTGCCCTGGAGACGTCTTTTAAGTGCCCTGAGAGCCTGTGCAGGAATGGGTACAGTTTCACTGCCTTTATTTTATTTACAGGTTCTGAATAACTCACTGCTTATAACACATTTTGATATTGCCTGCCTGTGTTTTAAATATATGTTGCCTTTAATTTTTTCTAGGCATACTCTGTCTATGATGAAGACATTGGCTATTGCCAGGGACAGTCTTTCCTTGCAGCTGTGCTTCTACTTCATGTGAGTTAATTGCAAAATGAAAGCTTTGATATTTGAAACCAAAGCAGCTTTAAAATCAGTAGTACTGTAACATGCTATTTGACAGATATTTACTGTTGTTTGTTTGTCTGTGTTCATTTTCCTCTTGTTGCTTTTTTGGCAACTAGTGACTAATGGCTTCTGTCTTTATGAATGCAGATTTCTTTTATCTAGGAGAAATCCATTAAATTGTCAAGTACTTCTGTGTCAAAACCTGAAGCTGATTTGTTACACATGAATATTTTCTTTTTAATTTAGTCATCACGTAGGTGAACTCCTTTTGTGTTTATGGGGGAATTTAACTTTGGGAGATATTCTCAGAGCAGCTAACCAGAGCAAGCAGTCTCATTAATTTTTAGTGAGACTTTTTCTCCTAGGGATGTTTTATAAGATCTTTTGAGTGAAAGCTCTGAATTTTAACCTTGATATGTTAGCCTCTAACCAAAAACTGTGCAAACTTTGATCTGTTGCTTCCTGTATATACATGTACATGTATGTATAGATAGATAAATACACAATTTTTATATTTACAAAGTGCTTTAACTTTGTATTGGTGGAAAAGCAGCAGATTTGAGTAGTGTGGATATCATAAAGAATATCTGAATAAACCACCCATACCCCCAGTGACAACTCTTACTCAGGCTCTTGCCTGCTTTCTTTCTTTTTCAATTAATAAATTATTAATCATAGTTGAAATACATTTCAGATTGTGGTTTTGAGTCAGCTGCTGGTGGTATATATGTTGCACATACACTTCCTAAGGCACTTAGAACTCAAATTCAGATTAATTTAAGTTGTAATTCCCAGTGAGATCTATGACTCCTTGAAGAGAGCATGTTACAAAGTGACAGTGTTACAGAGAAGCTTTGGATTCTTTAAGGATAAGCCTGAATTAGTCACGTTATTGCAGTCCCACATACACTGCACATTAGCTTATCTAACAGTTATTTTGCAATTAACATTTTACCCAAAGAAAGATTCTTAAATTCCTCTGGAAGAAGAAGCCATTTGCAATACCAGAGTTGTTTGGAAATGAGTGGGTGTCACATTCTTAACATTTGACTAATACTTCAGCTCCTCTCTCTTGGGTGTGTGCTGTCATTCCTACAGAGAATCACCTCTGTTTCTAGTGTTTCTGGAGTTAGAAGAAATTGCCCTGTACACAGGCAATACCAAATGGCAATTGCACTCATTTTAATATGCCCTTTATAACATTTGCTTTCATAATAGGATATTAAACTGAAATAATCAGAGAAAGGGGGAAAGGGAAGCAGTCTCAGTGAGCTCATGTAAGTCGGGAGCTTCCCAATGTCCTCAAACTCTTGTTTTTCTCAAATTCTCCAACCAATCTGTATACTGTGAATACTTATAAGACCCTCTCTGACTCTTCTATCTTTGCATGGATTTCTAGACCCCTCCCTTTCCCTGTTTGCTGGGACAGGATATCCTTTCTCTTCAGTGTAGAAACGTTTCAGGGATGGTTGAGTAGCCTGAACCTCCATCCTGGCTTTTTGTGATTTTGCTGCTTTGATTAAATTCCCATCAAAGGTGAGCAGGTAACTTCCAATCACAGGGGGACAGTGTTGCCAACGCTAATTGTTTTACTGGAAGTCTCACAGTATTTGAAATTTCTTTTCTTGTTACTTACCTCTCAGAGTCACTGCCATGTGAAAAACTAAAATTTCATTTTAAAAAATGCTAAATTTCTGGCTTTTGTTCTTTCAAAGAAAAGATGATAAAGGGCAAATATCTAAATGCTAAAAATTGGACTGGAAGCACCAAAAAATGTGTTTTGTTTAAAATAAATAAGAAATGAAAACTTGATTTATGATTTTGAGTTCTTGGGGTTGGTAACGCTGGAGAACTCCCGTCCACTGAGAGCGAGGACTCAGTGGCCTCTGCCTGTAAATGCCTTTGGCCTGGTACTCACCTGTCTTCCCTCTCCCTGTCTCGGGGGAGGAACGATTGTCAATGCACGTGTGTCTGATTGAGCATGCAAGGTAGGTGTGCTTGTGCATGAACATTTGTCATTTTATTGGAAATAATTGTTAATTAAAAAAAAAAAAGAATTTTAATTAATCTTTTTATAGAGCAGATTCAAGGCTTTTGGTCAGGATAAAACTATTTTTTCCCTTTACTTTGTCTGCAGCTTTTATCTGCTGTCAGTGGGAATCATTCCATCCAGATAAAATAGCACTAATGAGCTTTGAGATTCCTTAGAGCTTATCCTAGGTGATGGTAGCCTGGACAGGTAGCTAGCAGCTGGTCTGGCAGTTCTTTTTGCTAACTAGTTACTTTTATATATGCTGTCTGAAAATGAAAATAAAAGTGTCTGCCCATGGCCTTGGAGACAGACCATAAGATAGGCTGAACAATGAAAGATGAAACCCGGAGGTAAATATCAAGAGACTAACCTTCTCGTTGAAAAAAATCCTCAGCTTTTATCTGTTGCTGATATTTGATAAGGGGTTGGCAAGAGGCTGAATGAGTGAGTATAATAAAAGGTCAAGAGTTGTCGTTCTTGATACTCAGTAATTGTTTTCATTTGTTAAAAGCTGGTGCCTGTAAAAGAAAACTTGTTTTTCAATGTGATTGAAAACCTGATTTGGGGTCTGCAGTAACTCTGCTTGTGCTGTATTATCGTGTTACCTGAAGGCATGGGGGAAGTCTTAGCAGTGGAGGTTTGATGACACAGAGTTCTGTAGGCTCAGGACAACAAATATAGTTGTAGAGTGGCTCACATGACTTGTCCTTTAGTCCTGCTTTCTAAAACCCTGTTGGATGAGAAATTTTGGTCAAAATTAATAAAGATTATGGAGACAGGGCTTCTGAAGAAGTCATGATGTTACTAGATGAGATCAGCCCTCCTGAGCTCACAAGTAAGTTCTGAAGGCAAAATTTGTTATTTTCTTACTCATGGTGGGAAACCTGACCTTCAGAGAATTTGATGGTTTCAGAGCTTGGGGTTTGGATGAAAGTAGGTAAGCATTCTTTTCACTAAGAGTTGGTTGTTCCTTAGTTCTCCTGGATTTTTCCCCTTTAACAAAGTCTCTCTCAGTAGAAATCACTGTCATGAATTGTTGTCTTTTCTTTCTTTTTTTAAAAAATAATTGTTCTGTAGCTGAGAATTGTGTACTGGTTGTTCTCATATGTATTTGGCAGAATACTGATGACAGTTGTGCTGCTGTAGGGATGTGTACCTACATGAACCTATTATATGATCCCACATTTTCTTCAAATCAAGGTGTTCATCAAGAGGAGTAGTCCCCTTGAGATTTGATTTGCTTAATTCTACAAGGATAGTGCTTTACTGAAAATTTTGATATATCCCTGGTTCTGAATTCATCTTGCATAAGGTATTTGAAGTGTGTGTATTTGTGTGAGGAGTTTCCAGCCTCAGCTCAGTTTTTAAAATGATGTTTGTGTATTTTTCCAAACAGATGCCGGAGGAGCAGGCATTCTGTGTATTTGTGAAAATAATGTATGACTATGGCTTGAGGGACCTCTACAGAAATAACTTTGAAGATCTCCATTGCAAATTTTTCCAGCTGGAGAAGTTAATGCAGGTGGGGCCAGGGTAACAAATCCTTTTATTTTCATAAATTGAAATACTGGCATGAAGAAGAGATTAATGCTTTGCTTCCATAAGCTGCTGGAGGAAAAAAAAAACCCTTTCCTTTTAGATGTGGGGTAGAAGTAAAGCAGGGAAGCTTAATATCTGGATTCAAACATTGTGAACCAGATTTATTTCTAATTTCTTTTGTTTTTTATATACCAATCTTGCTGCTAATCTTTGCATCCAAGCAGAGTAGGTATCTGGTTTTTTCCTCTCTCCATTTGCTTGCTCTCTCTCTTCCCTCTCCTGTGATATTGCTTAGGGAGAATGTCTCTCCTCTATTAAGGCCAAATATCTTTTGGACTGCCACCATCAGTGTCCTACTTTCTATGAATTATGTTGGTGGTTAAGAGGTCAGGCAAATCAGGACATAGTGATGCTTATGAAATAAGAAACAAGTGTAGGTCATTTTGTAGATTTTAATGTGTTTTCAATTGCTCTTTTTTTTAGATGGAAGTATTTCATAGCCAGAGCAATTTAACATAAATAAACAGCTGCAAGTTTTAAACATGGCTCGTCTGACTAGGAAGGAGTTACTAACAGTCCATTAAGCTTTGACCTGCACTTCTGTTAGCATAGTGAAAGCTGGCTGCTGGAGTCACTTACCAGAGATGACTGTATATACCTCTGTGAGATATATTAAAACCAAACAAACCAGACCACAGTTAATAATTGGGATTTTGGGGTTTTTTTTCAGGTGTCAAATTGTGTATATTTCCTACTTGGTGGAGTAGAATTGCATGCTAATGAATTTGATACTTAACTTTGGCATATGGTCTTCTCCATATTTACATATGTTAACAAAGATTTTTACTTTATTAACTGAATACAAATATATAATCAGTGTACAGTACGATGATCAGTGCTTATTTTGTGTTGCTTCTATATGCTCCTAGTTAGAGAAATTGTCTGATGGAGTTGTGTGCTTTGTTGCTTTCAAGCTCTGCAAGGTGATCTCCTTGTTCTAGTTTCTGTTGGTCTTTAGAGCAGAAGCATTTAGAGCAAGACACAGCAAAGGAATAACTTAAAAGTCTACACTACACATGGCACAGATTTCACAACCACTCTGCCTTTCGACTGCTGAAGGTTTTGTAACTTCTCAGTGTAATCTCAGTGCATTATTTGATACCGTGATAGAATCCACAGTGGATATCTTACTAAAAACTGTAACCATGGGCACTGAATTTATGAATCATCTATGTATTTCCATTGCTCAAGAGAAGCCAGGATTTCACTTTGTTGTGTTTTTCAGTGTTTAGCAACCCGGTACTTCATGGCAGTCCAGCTGAAGAACTTGGATTAATGAGTAATACTGAAGCATTATTTTTTCCTTTACTCCAGGAGCAGTTACCAGACTTGTATGGCCATTTCTCAGACCTCAATTTGGAAGCTCATATGTATGCATCCCAGTGGTTCCTCACTCTTTTTACTGCCAAGTTTCCACTCTGCATGGTCTTCCACATCATTGACTTACTACTTTGTGAGGTAAAAAACCCTTGAATCAGAAAGCCCTTCCTCCTCTCCACGAATGTTTCTCCCTTTTTTGTTTCATTTTGTTGGAGTCATTTACTGTTTAATCTCAAAATGTGTGTAACTAAATTATGTAGAAACCATGGTTATATTGAAGAGATGATGTTCAGTGAAACACTGGTTTGGTTTTAAAATCAGAATTGTGGATTGCCTCATTCTTTGCTAAGGGATCTAATTAAGAATATCTGATGCACACATCTCTTCTTCATTTAATTTGTTCAATAATTTATTCAAAGTTAAGAATTCTAATTACTTGAAGATACCTAGTAGTAAAAACCTAACAGGCTTTTAGAGGGAAAGCTCTCCAAATTATCTGGTTTACAGTACCCAAAGACAGTAAGGGTATTGCATGTTGATTTGATGGCCTGATATTAAACAAACTGTGAGAACTGCCAAACAATGAAGCTCTTTCCTTTTGTTTTTTACCCCATGGTTCCAACTAAGGAATGCATTACTCCAGATACAAAATGGTATGGTATTGGTATTGTAGTTATATCTGCACTTGCTTTAAAAAAACCAAAACCAGAATAGATTGATAGTCTGGAATATTTATTTTGGTAAAATACTAGTAGTTGCTTTTGTCACCGGGATGCCAGGACATCCATGGAATTAAACTTGGTATTGAACCTGCCACTGATTTTTCTCTCTGATTTAAATGGATCACAAACATAAAAATAAATAAATAAATTAAATAATTGAGAATTTTAAATGCAAAGAGCTTCACAAAGCACTGTTGACTCTAGTTCATTCTGTTAATTTTTATTTTGAAGTATTTTACTTGCAAATTTTCAGGCTTCCTGCACATGCCTTGATAGCATTTATTATTAAACAAACATTGTCCACCACTCATAACTCAGTATTTTTTCCCTTAAGAGTATCATTTCTTCTGCATATTGTTGTTCAGTTATCAACAAGAAGTAGGTTCATACTGCCAGGTATCCAAGTGAGTGGGAAAGGCGGTAATGGTGAAATGAATTCATATTTCCATATAAACATCTGAGCTCTGTTTCTTTCACAATGTTGTGATTATTCTAAGGAAGCAAACAGAAAAAGCAGGAAGGTTGGTAGTTTTTCTTCTCTTGTCCTCTTCTTTGGTCATGCAGTACTTGAACACTTGTGAGTGAGTTAATTTTCAGAGTGAGCTTCTAGTGTGGATTTGATCATTCTTTGTCAATTCAGCTTATTACTTCATTCTGATCTTGATGTAGAGCTGCTCTCAGAAATGACCATTTTAAGAAATCATTTGTCAAGAAGTAAGGAACATCATTTCACAGTGGTGATTGTTGTGATAGCAGCACACTGACATCCTCTCTGAAGCTCCTGCGCTTTTTATTATATTAAGCTTGATGATAAAATATGCTGAGGAAGTCTTTTAGTCAAGGTTAATATAGATGGAATATTGAGAATGAAAAAAGAAACAACTCTTCACAGCATTTGCATTCATCTCGCATCTGGCAGTGTTTATCTCGGCATGGCTGAAGGAATTACTCTGGGCAAGAAGGTGAAAGAATCCAAGGAGAAAGTGAGAGAGTGCAACGCTGAAGTCTGCTAGAGGAAGGGAAACTTGGTAGCATTTGTGGAGGATAGTCACATAAAGCTAAAGGAGCTAAAAATAAACCAGAAGTGGTAAAAAAATTGGTTTCAGGTGAGAAGATACATACAGGCATCAGTGAACAGTGTAGACTAGCAGGAAACCGCTCCTACGATTCATGAGCCAGCTGGTCTAAAGTAACATGCCCTTCTGAGAATTTGTGGGAGGAATGTAGATGAAAATCCTATTAAAATAAAAATCTAGGTGGCCTTCATCATAGAAGGAAAGTAAAATCTGAAGGCATATGGCCATAGAGAGTAAGAAAGAAACCATTCCTTAATGGAGGACTGAAATCATCTTGTGAAGCTGTCCATCCAGACAGCCTGCAGAAGGACTCATGGAGCAGTCAACAAATAATTTGTGTCTGCATTAAGTTGTTCTTTATCTCTGAACAAACAGCATACCTGTAATTCCAGCAACTGGGAGGAGAAAAAACAGTTGTGGCTGCTAACAGTGGAACATATTCTTCTGCAAAAAAAAAACCCTCAAAAAATCAAGAAGCCTTTGAAGTGAACTGTCTGGTGTTTTTAAAAACGAGCTTTCAGCCTTCTCATTAATTTGTCATAGATACAGATGAATTTTAAATAGCCTTCAACTTCCTTCCTGACTGTGTTTTCTCCACATCCCTGTCCTCTCTGTTGTTGACAAAATGTTTACATCCTATGCAGCAAATTTATGAAAGAAAAATATTAGGAGAGGAAAAACAGTTAAAACCATTGCTGAATGGGTGCTGCCAACAAGTCGTTCCAAAGGAGCTTCTCTGGTCCCCATGAAAATATTTGAATTATGGATGAACAATTTGTGTCAGCCGAGAGGTTTCGTATGGGATTTGTCTTTTTAGTTCTTGACTGTGGCTGGAAGAGTGAAATCAGTCCTTGTAGATATTCTTTGACTCTCAATGCAGAGAGGAAAAACAGCTGTTGGAAATCCTGTGGTTTCTCAGCTAGCCAGGGAGACACGTTCCCTTCCCTGCACTCCTGGTGGGATGGAGCACTCACACTGGGGAGTGGACCTCCTGGGCAGGAGGATATCCAGGGATGTGGAAGACGAGGAAAAATTAGTTAAATTTATGGTAGGAATTAAGTCTTATTGAGAAATTTTTAAAATCCCATCAAAGTGTGTGCTATTACAGCCGAGGTATTTTCATCATTCTCATGTTAAATATGACTTGATAAAAAGAAAAAAAATATTTAAATTCATACAAATTTGGGACTTGCTGCAGCCTCTACGAGATCAAATTCTTTTATCCTGTTCTCTTCCTCTGACCATTTTTATTTCTAAGCTGTCTTCAGGCTGATGGGATTCTACACCCAAATTACCCAAATTTCCGGTGGCCTTAGAATATTGTCTTCTAATTGTAGGACAGAATCTGTCACCCATCCTCACCTAGAAATAAAATGGTTTTGAATTCTTTGTGGTTTTTTGTGACAGAAGCTTGAAGAAAATTTGGGGCTTGTAGGCAGGTACTCCACAGTGCTGTGGTACATATTATAAGGCCACTGGAAATTTGGAAATTATATTATATTTATAAATTAATAATTTGCCTCTTAATAAAAACACAAACCTCTTGATCCACTTGAAAGTTTTTGGGCAAGCTGTGTTTGTGAGCCTGGCTACATAGATAAATTTTAACATGTCAGTGTTAAAATAATTTAACATTTAAATTTTAATATGTTTAAATAGTGTGGCCAGCAGGACCAGGGAAGTTCTCTTACCCCTGCACTGGGCACTGGTGAGGCCATAGCTCGAGTGCTGGGTTCAGTGTTGGGCCCCTGACTCCAAGAAGGACATGGAGGTGCTGGAGCGTGTCCAGAGAAGGGCAACAGAGCTGGGGAAGGGTCTGGAGCACAAGTGTGCTGAGTTCCCTTGTGGCTGAGGGAACTGGGGGTGTTGAGCCTGGAGAAAAGGAGGCTGAGGGGAGACCTTCTGGCTCTGTGCAAGTCCCTTGGAGGAGGGTGGAGAGAGGTGGGGGTGGGTCTGTTCAACCAAGGCCCAAGGGACAGGACAAGAGGAAATGGGCTCCAGTTGTGGCCAGGGCAGTTGAGATGGGATGTGAGGAAGAATTGCTTTGCTGAAAGGGTTCTGAGGCATTGGAAGGGGTTGCCCAGGGCAGTGGTGGAGTCCCCGTCCCTGGAGGGATTGAAGAGTCGTGTAGACATAGTGCTGAGGGACATGGGTTAGTCGGGGACTTGTCAGTGTTGGGTTCATGTTTGGACTTGATGGTCTTAAAGGTCCTTTCCAACCTCAGTGATTCTATGATTCTATATCAGCATCAGCTGAAGATCTTTGTGCAAATGTTCCTTACAGCTGCCTGTTTCAGCTGCTTCATGTGCCTCCTCTCCTTTTGCTATTTCTGTTTGCCTTGAAGAACAACTTTGTTGGTGAAATTCAGAGTTGTATTTGGACTTGTCAGTCTTATCTATCAACATGACATTTTGCTGTTGAATGCTTTGTGAGCCTGCTCTGTTTTGCTGTCTCTTTTTGTTCCATTTTAAGTTATTTGTTTAAAGTCATGCCCAGAAATAGCGTCTCATCTAGGTAAAGCATGTCACCCTGGTAGAGCTGGCCCCAGTGCAACAGCTGCTCCTGGGTTATGCTATAGAATATCAGAGAGTTGACATTTAACTTCATTTTGCATTGTAAAATTTACAATTTAAAATGAAAATGTGTGTTTTTAAACTAAAAATTTGACCTTAATTAGGTGCTAAAAATTTGACCTTAATTAGGCATTTAGACGAAGAAAAAAACAAATCAGTTGGCAGACAATTTATAAGCATTTTTAAAATTTTCACTATTTTTTCTGCATAAAAAAGAAAATACTTTAACTGCTTGTGATAGAAACAGTACTGCCAAAACTAAAGGAGATTCAGAGCTCAAGCTGTCAGTCCATTATTAACCTAGAATTTTGAGACACTATTGATAACCTCCATTTTAAGTCAACCTGGCTATTTTTGTGTGCAGTTTTCGGGGATATAAACTGCTTAAGGATTGTGCCTCTCTCCTTTTACAGAGTATATAAAAACCCTACTACATGCTGCCTTTCCTGGGCTAGTACAGATATTTGTACAATTTATTGTCAGTAATTACATAGTCTTGTTACAAAAATTAATAGTTTGACTACTAAGCTGCCATTCTGTGATCAAGACTGAATAGAAAGGGATGTAACTGGTTACCTCTCAATTTTGAATATGAAATAATTTAATGTTTTCTAATGTAGTTAATAGCAAAGAAGTGAAACTGCCTTTCACAAGACCACCCAGCAGCACAGTGTGTATTGAAAGCTAGATACTGCCATTCCTTGGCCTCTTTTTATCAGCTATTGCTTTCAGAACTTTTGATGAAATAACTTTTCTAATCAGTTTTG